CACAAATGACTTTTCCCTAATTTCCTTCCCTTGGTTCCCCCTGCTTTTTTTTTTTTTTTTTTTATAAGGATAACCTAAAATATTTACAGAGTATTTATTTAGCCCATTGATAACATTCAGCAGATCTGCTTCCAGTCCTCAGAGAAATTCAAGCTTGAAGCCTATAATTAATCTCTGGAATTTAATAAGGGAACAGCCATATTGGAGAACTGCACTCCAAGCGTATTACACTAGGTACCTCTTTTGTCCCTGTTATGAAAGTAACACTGGTGAGAAATGGCGTCAAGTTTATCTGTTCTCGGCTCTGCTTCACTCATTAATATTTATGGGAGGCTTTAACAAAATCTGGTAGGGAAAAAAATGTCTCTGTATAAAAGCCAGTTCCCAGTCTTCTTATCCTGTTAGAGCATCACAGTCTACTCCAGTGTTTCTCAACCTGGGCAACTTTAAGATGTGTGAACTTCAACTGGCTGGGGAATTCTGGGAGTTGAAGTCCACACATATTAAAGTTGCCAAGGTTGAGAAACACTGGTCTGTTCTGACTGGTAGACAAATCCTTGAATGAGGTAAAGCACATATGAAAAAAGCCGCTTTCCAAGAGTGCAGTCACTAGGGCAGTGATGAACCACCGAGCTGTATGAAGGCTCCAAATCCTAATTTGGAGCTGGTGGGACCTCTTCCAGCCAGAATTGCTGCAAATCAGTGGTAGATTTTCTTGCTATTTTGAGGTATATAACCCACAAAACTGGTATAACCCCCCCCCCCATAGCTTAATTTGGTAAAAAAAGAAAAAGAAACACCCCCACAACAGGAAATTACAAACAATTCTGGGGCCACCGATGTCTGTGAGATGACTGCAGCCACATTGCCTTTAGCCCTTTCCTTCTCCAAAAAAGTGTTGTGTACCCCACCCCCAGCTACCCAAATGCCCTGGGTCTCAAAACAGGGGTTTTTGAACTTCTTCAGATCACAGAACCAGTTAGTTAAAAAAAAAAAAATCCAGAGCCCCTGATCAAGAGGCAAAGCTCTAGTGATAGAAAATTGGCTTAGTCCCCTCTGAGAGTTATCATGCAAACACATTGTGGTGGACAGCACCAAAAATGTAACTCTAAATTTTATTGCATCACAGTAGTATTGCGGCTACTGATCTGTAAGATCACAACTGTGTAATATGTTCTTTAAAAATCTGACAAAGTTCACTGACACATTCTTGTTTTCATTTTTGTTTCTGTTTTTTTTGTTTTTGTTTTTGTTTTCCTTCAAGTTAAGTGGCAGAATCAACTTTTCAACCAGAAAATTGGAGCTGACAATAAGAAGGATTTCTATTTGGATCAAATAAATCTCCAGTATATTGTCTTTTCCTAGATGCTGTAACTGGCATGCTCCAAGGACTTCCCAGCCAGTACCAAAAATTATTATCTCTCTTCTGAGCACATAACAAAATCACAAACTGTCATAGAAATCTAAAATGCTTTGTTTTACTGTCATAGCAATTTAGCGTGTTTCTCAGCTTCAGTTATGCCTTGCAAAGCAATAGAGGAGGAAATGAGATGGGACAAAACTCAACTTTGGTCAATATGAGTAGAAAATGGCTTATTTCTCAGGAGGTACCATTGAGTTCTGAAGATGAAGTATTGCTGTCCTTAAGACAAGGTCTTCAGTGATAATCAAGTTGTTGTAGGGCTCCACACCCTGAAGCAAGCATGCGGGCAGCTAGAATATATGTATGCAGCTTCCAGGCCCTGTTTTGCTGCCCACAGAGTTCTGCTTCACAATTGCACTCCTAAAATTGAATGGCATGAGGGGGGGGGGGTTCCCCCCATTTTGCATGTTGGGATGTAGGCTTTTAATGCATCTATTTACTCAAATTGCATAACACGTATGTGCAGAACACCCAAGAAAAGGCCAGAATGTGGCTGGTGAGGTCATTACATGTCCCTTTGATTCTTAAAAACCAGTTTTGTTATTAACAATAACAATAAAGGGTCTCCTGGTCCCAAAAAGTTTGTTCAAAGAGAGAGTTGGAATTTCCTGTCCTGCCAAGTCCTGTCCTATTCAAGGATCCTTTAGGTAGCTGATGTAGAGAGTAAGGAAGATGACCTTGATGGAGATATGCAAACTTCATTGCCAAGGCAAAGGGGTAAAACACGTTTTCAGTCCAGAACATCCAGATAACATTCGGAAGTGGCTCAGACAGACACCTCCCTAATTCACTGAACTATAAGAAGAGGAGAAGATACAACACAATTGGGTTTTCAAGATTCTGTTATAGCCAATTTCAATAAAAGTGGTTTTAGCCTTCCTGTGGAGTTGATTTCTTGGTCTGGTCTACCTAGTAGGGCTGACAGTTACATAGTTTCCTTTCATTTGTGTTTGTATCTCCCTTGGTCTATCCAAGGGCACCAACTAAATGCAAACATATGTTAGAATAGCATATTAGTTTGTAGTACATTAAAGTTGTATTTTGTTCTGAAACAGGATGACTTTCCTCAGGTGTAGTTCTACCAGTGTGCTACCATGAGCAAATTCAGGATGACGAAAGTGGACTAGATGAAATCAAGTGAGGAGTCTGTGGCTCCCCAAATCCTGTTGAAGTTCAAAAGGCATCCCTTTCAAATATTCTGTGCTCCTGGGTAGCTTGAATGGAGTGTTGTCCTACACCTTGGCTTTGGGGTTGAAGAAATGTTATGTCCTGGCCAGCTACCTTGGTAATTTGGGGGTAATTTGGGGGTGGAGTGCTAGGGAAGAGAAGCAAATCTGTTCTGAATCCAACTGTGCTATTAATAAGAGACTGTGAGAAGACTAGGAGTAGTGTCAGGAACCTGCAACTGGACTGCTGCTGTAGAGTTGATAGATTTCTATTTGACTGCCTAAAATACTTTGTGTTGCTATAATTGATTTGTTGAGTATTACAATGCATGTACTAAGTGAATGAGCTTTTGGTTATAGATGGGGAGCCTCGGAGTCCATTTAAAAATATGGATGCTTTCCGAAAATAAATGAAATATCCCTTTTGCCAATCTTTCTGCAAGTTGGCTAGCTGGTAGTAGTTAGCATGGATTGCCACTTCACCTATGCTTGCTGCTTTGAGGTAAAAAACAAGGGAAGAAGGAGCACATAATGAATTGCCATAAGCAGAACATTCAAAATGTTTTTAATTTTGTTGCAACAGAACATTCTTGCAATTTTGGATTCTGTTCTGTTCAAAGACAGCCAAAATTCAATTCTGAGACAGTGTTCTAGATGAGGCATGTTGTTCCAAACTTACCTTTAGCTGACAATCAGTTTCAGAGTGATTTGAGTGTATTAAGCCTAAAGTTTGCAAACCAATTGTTCTTCCTTTTCTGGAGAGATTGGGAAGTTGAAAACAGCAAGAAATTGTGCCGCAGTTTGACTGTTTGCTACATAAAATAGTGGTGCAGTTTTTAAAAGCAAAACTCTTGTTTATTTATCTTCTCTGTTCCTAACTGCTTTATTGTATTTTTCCCCATGTTCTGTCATTTTAATGCAGTTTCTGAATGCTATTTAAAACTGACTGTATTTCAGTTTGCTTTGTACACACAGACTCCCCTCCCCAACTTTCTATTGACTCAAAGTCCTTTGCAAGGGTGATGTTGTATGACTGCAAAACAATTAGTCTCAGGGTATTACTGCAAACAAGACAATGCCTAGGAATAAGCTAGTGATGAATGTCAATTCAATACATTGTCTCTATGTGTCTCTCTCTTTTTTGTAATGTGTTTTCTCCTGCTGAGCTACCTGAATGCCTTGTAGGCAGTTATTATATTCTCTCCCCCCCCCCCCCGTTTTACTAGTAACAATTTGCATCTTTGCTTCTTTTTTAGAGCAAAGGGAGTTAAGAGTTTCATTCTTTTCTTTCCCTCCCCTCTAGGTTCACAATAGAACAGGAAATTGATCTGAAGGATGCTTTGAAAGGGGTTGGAATTACAGAAGTATTCAGCCAAAGTGCTGATCTCACTGCAATGTCTGGTAAGCGGCTTTTTGTGATTTAGGTTCTTGCAGCACTGCCTTCATTTTCTTCCACAATAATTTTAAAACTTGGTCCAGAAAAACCTGGCCCACAAATACTTTAGTGAGTTAATTAATTAATTAATTAATTAATTAATTAAATCTATCAACCAGTATTCTCAAATAGGTACAGGTGGGGGGAAAAGGCTAAATGTAATTTTTGGCCTGACCTAGGCTGTCCTGTGAGACATCTACCAGCTTTTCTTACTTTGGTGGCCTCTACATTGTTGGATGCCAACTTCCAGAACTTGGAAGTTGATGGGGATTTTGAGGTGGAGGTAGGAGTGTCTGGAAGGCAGCACACTGCTAGCCCCAATTTAACAACTCATTTGGAGGTGACCAATTGATGGCAGTCTTTTTTTGGAAATTTCCATTAAACCATTGACATGATTTAGGGAATCTATCTTATCAGTTGTTTCTCCCTTTTTCTCTAGTTGTTTTTGTCGCAGTTCACGATTGGTGCAGATCTTAAGCAAGCTGTGTACTCATCAGTTTCACTTGGAATAGGTTATATTATTTAAAAAATGTTATTTTTCATTACAAAAGAAAGACCACCTGTTGCTTTCCAACGTCTCTATCTGACATCTTTTATTTCTGAAGGCTATTTTAATCTTCTAAGATCTATTCTATTTTCTTTGTTCATCTCTAACTTCTGTTTTACTTTCCTTCCTAACTCCCACCTGACTTCTCTTCTTTACTATCTATGCTAGCTTTGGGTTAACTACCTATCTGTCTGTCTATATATCTAACTATCCCAGTCCCAATCCTACACACCACCAACTACTTCTCCTTTGGCTATCTTTAATGCTGTACTAGTCTCTGTTGTCAGGTGCCTCAGCTGTACTTGACCATTGGAATTGCTCTGGTGTTGCTTGACATCCCCACCAGTGTCACATGGTGTATTGCTTTTTGGTGCTGCTGCTTGTTTTTCCCAGTTGTCTGTCTTTCTCCCACTTCCTTTTGTCAAGTTGTACTGCCTCTTTCTCTCTTTAGCTGGGTTGGCTGCTGGTTGGATTAATTTCATCCAATATGGCTGACTATAGGCTCTGACTGACTGTGACTCCATTACCATCAGCCCAGACTTTCAGACATCTCCTTACACTGGCTGCTTGGCACTCTAGAAATAGTGCTTTCATCTCCCTTCCTTCTCTCTCTAGGGACATAGTCTGTCACTCCTAGGATTTCTACTGCTCTGTAGCCTCCAGAGAACTTTCCCCACTTGGGCTTACTTTGACAACATCCACCTATTGCTTTGGTCGGGCCTGCTGTAATGAAGTTTCTCCAGAATCACCTCTTCAGCTGCTAAGGCTTTTTTTTTCCTCCCATCCTCTGCTATGGAGGAGTTCTTCAGCAGCTCTACACAGCACACACGTACATACACACACACATTTACATGCTGCCAGGTGCAAGAGTCTTTGGGTTCCTTTCCTTACCTTCCCTTTTTCCAACCTTGCAGCGTTCTTCTTTCCATTTTTGTCCTTTTTGTTCTGATCTTCAACTTCTTTTCTTCTGCCTCAAGTAAGCAATCCCCTTCTTTAAATAACTGCATTCCTTTAAAAGAGAACAACTTCGTAAGCTTTCAGGGGAACAGAAGTGAGGGGAATCATTATGGCATGACGTTTTGTTTTGTTTTGTTTTTCCCTTTACCAGACATCCTCTCACAGTCAGGTTTCATCCCACGCTAAAGTATATGAATTTCAGCTTGCTGATTATCACATTGAGGGAGTGGGCTCAGGAGCAATGGGCCGATTCTTCATGCTGTCTGCAGTACTCTTAATAAATATCTCCAGATCCGTAATATAGTACTGTCTGTCTCTTTTCCCCTACTGTTTCTCAATGTGCAGCTTTACCAATGGAAAAAATGATTTAACAGTTCTGATCTTTATTTTTGGTTTTGTCTAAGTTCATCATTTTCTTTATCTCTAGGATTAGTCTTCTATTTCTTTCTCCACACGGTCCATCTTTAATTATACATGAGACCAAGAAAATTCAAACTATCTGCATCTAAACTTTTTCTGTTGATTGTGTATTCAGTAAGCATGCTGACTGATACTTCATTTGCCTTCTTAATATTTAACCTTAACCCAGATTTTTCATTTTCCATTTTTACTTTCATAATGAGCTTTTCTAAGTCTTCGTGATTTGAGCTAATGAAATGGTAGTGCCTGCATAACATAAAGTATTAGTGTTAATTTTGTAAGTATTGTTAATTCTTAGTATTAATTTTGATTCCAGCTGTCCTCCCTTCAAATCCTATCATTCTTTTAATATATTTGATGCACAAGTTAAAACAGGTATAAAGAGATAGAATGCATTTTTCTCTCACTCTTTTTCCAGTTTGGAACTATTCCGTTTCTCCAAACGGTTTTTACAGTAGCAATTGAGATCTGCTGTGTTAAAACTATTTGCAGCCAAAGCACATGCCTAGCTGTTGTATGGGGTTCAATTAGGCCCATGTAATAACATGGCTGCCTTGGAAAATATACGGTCCAAATTCCTACAAAATATATTTCAAGGTGCTTGTTTTGTTTCAAGAAGTAAACGTCATCAAAGTTGAGAACAAGCTCTGCCTAAGCATCTTTGCATACTGGCTAAGGTTATCCTTTGACCAAGTTGGATTGGCCTCCTTAATACTAGCTCATCCTTTTAACTCCCACTGGAAAAAAAATAACTTGCCAAGAAATTGCCCTATGACAGCTTTTCCAGTGAAGTGGTATTGATGTTGAGATATGAGAAGGCTAAATGCGTGCTTAGGCAACTGGTACTGCACACGGAAGACCAAAATGTATGGGGAGACATACTTGCAAATACCCTTTTTGTAAAATTAAACACCCACATCGCATCACAGTTCCAAAATTCAGAAGAGTGTTATCTTTAGCTCGTTTGAATGCCCTTCCTACATCTGTCGCAGAAGGGAAAGTCACGAACAGTCCATATATGGACTGATGGTGGTGGTGCCACCAAATCAACAGTCTACGTCCTCCTCTACTTGTTTGGGGCGCTTGTCTTTGCTTTATACCCTCTCTATTAACAAATTGCCCAGGCACTCAGACATATTTTATTTAAAACACCTCCTCCCAGATAAGAATCTTTCTCCCTAAATGTGGCAAAGTTGTGTTCTATTGTTTGCAAATTACAGCTGGGGTGAACAAATTAATATCCAAGTAAGTGCTTGTGTTTCACAGTACATATGATGGCCTTTGTAATTTCATTACTTTTCCTGTTATATTACATGTAGTTTTAGGTCTTTTGCTACACTCTATGACCATAAGAAAGTTAGCTATATTGCTTCATTTTTTAATGTTCTTGATGGAAATATCTTTCCATGTCCTTCCTTGCTTGATGTTGAAAGTCTGTTTTCAATTATCATACACTCTTATTGTTTCCCAAACTTTTGTCCTCCATCATGATTTCTTCTTTTGGATCTTTTCTTGGGCATATTTTTTTCTGTTTTGATTTTCATAATGTCTCTTAGCCCTTTCCTGAGATTCTCTTTTCATAACTTGTGCACCGAGTCTGTTCATTTCATTAATCTTATATTCTGATGGTATGTCTTACAGATCAAATACTGCTGGCACATTTATTCTTCATTTTCTCATTCTAACCCATGTATTGTATGCTAATAACTCATGGCTGCTTCCACATTTGCTCCTGGAAGTGTTCTAGCTTATTAGTTTGTCTGTCTTTTGTATCCATTATACAAAAGCCCTTGTTTTACATCATCCGTGTTTCATCCAGATTTGATGAAGGACTACATTTGGACTGGTGGGTTGGAAATCTTGAAGTTAGGCAATTTGGGGGAAGGTGTTGGAAGTGGGTCAAAGCTTTCACTCCTTCTCAGGTGGGAAACAAGGGCAAGGGTGTATCTCACTGGTTTGGAAGAAGAGTGTGAGAGATTTTCCTCCAGCCTGCTGAATGAGAAGGGGACGGTTGGAAGGGTGAGGGTATATGGAAGAAGGTATGTGTAGTGAGGTTAGTCAGGTGCTGGGTGCTGTCAGCTGTTCCATTAGGTTGTTTCGTTGTGTGATTGGGCTCTTTGACCTTGGGGAGGGAGAGCGAGAGATGGAGGTGATAGATTCTGTAAGAGGGAAGAGGGCAAGCAAGAACATCATGGTGGTGATGGATATGGGAAGATATGGCAGGAGGCAAGGGCTGGCTGTTCTTGGGGAAGGTTGCCTTGGTATTTAGTATCAGTACCACATTCCTGCTCCTTGTGCTCAACCAAGGACTTGATCATCAAAATTTCACTGTCCCTGGCTTCTAAATGCCAGGTTGGTCTGTAATAAGACCTTCCTCACCCACAATTTTTGAGCAGAGAGTTCCTCTCTCTGAAATGTGCCTGGCTGTAGAGACAGAAATAGGCAAGATCCATAACCAAAGCGATAAGGGAAAAAACTAATTTTAAGGAGATTTAACAAGGAGAAAATATGCACAAGGAGAAAATATGCAGAAGAGGCTCAGACACACACCTCCCTAATTTACACACGTATAAGAGGGAGAGGAGATATGAGACTTGCAAGATGGTTTTCAGGCCCACCAGGTAGACCACGCAGGAATCAACTCCACAGGAAGGCTAAAATTACTTTTATGAGAGTGGCTATAATAACAAAATCTTGGTGGGGTTCCAAAGGGAACTTGGGATCGTTCCTGAAGTTCTGGTGCATGCTTTGGCTGGGGCCTCAGTTGCTGTTTGGGACAAGCAAGTGACCATGGCCTTGAATCAGATCATGCCTATGCAGATCCCAGAGGGCCCCCTTATTTTTATAGGTATTTCAGGAAATGAAGTGGCATAAGAGATGCCTGGAGAGTCTTTAGAGGAAGACAAGAGCAACTCCAACTGAGCACATGTAAGAGCCTCCCCACTCTTATTTAACATCTACATGAAACTACTGAATGAGGTTATATACCAACATGGGGTTAAGTTTCATCAGTATCAACTCAGTTGTCTATCTTTGCCCTGGGCCATCCAAGTGATTCTGTCAAA